TTTATCTATATTTCTATTTGTATTGTTTTTGAGTCAGGGTCTCACTCTGTCACCCAGGCAGGAGTGCAGAGTCACAATCATGGCTCGCCACAGCCTCAAACATCTGGGCTCAGGTGATTCTCCCACCTCCCCTCCCAGGTAGCTGGAACTACAGGCACATGCCACCATGTCTGGCTTATTTTTTGTGTGGGAGGTCTCTCTGTGTTGCCTAGGCTGGTGTCCAACACCAGAGCTCAAGCAATCCTCTTGCCTCAACTTCTTAAAGTGCTGGGATTACAGGCATGAGCCATGGTGTCCAGCTATTATTATTATTATTTTATTTTATTTTGTTTTTGACTTAAGAGTTTCCCTCTGTCACCCAGGCTGGAGTGCAGTGGCATGCTCATGGCCACTGCAGCCTCAACCTGCTGGGCTCAGGCGATACTTCTGCCTCAGCCTTCCAAGTAGCTGGAACTACAGGAATGCGCCACCACACCCGGCTAATTTTTTGATTATTGTAGAGATGAGGTCTCACCAAGTTGCCCAGGCTGATACAGAACCTGTGGTCTAAGACAATCCTCTCACCTTAGCCTCCCAAAGTGCTGGGATTATAGGCTCGAGCCACTGCATTCGGTCCTTTTTTTGTTGTTTTAATAGAGACAGAGATTCGCTCTGTTGTCTGGGCTGGTCTCGAACTCTAGTCTCAAGGGATCCTCAGTCTCGGCCTCCCAAAGTGCTGGGATCACAGGAGGCAGCCACTATGCTAAGCTCCTTCTGACTTTCCTTAGATTGTACTTTAAAATCCCACTAGAACATTTTTTAAAGGAGTCTAAATGGTAGTCAAAATGCAAACTGTCTTTTATCACCAGGTAATATTTATAATAAGCATTTTGATTCTTATTCTCAGATTTGTTAAACAAAAATTATGGGAGGTCATTGTTTTAAATTAAGCTCCTGCACTAGGCCCCAACATATGAGACCAAACCAAAGTGGCGTCACTCATGCCAAATACCACATGATCAAACTGCAGCTTTAAAAGGAAGCAGACAGATCCCAAAACAGACTCGTTTTTCCTGACAACAGGAAATTCTCGTCTACCTGAGTCAGCGTAAGGAAGTCAGGATAAGGATGTCCTCTCTTACAAGATGTAACCTAAAGTAGCCTAAGGACAACCAATCACTTATTTTCCACTGTTCTGTTTCATTCTTCTCACTGTTTTTTGTTACAAAATCCACTGTTCTGCCATTGCCCCATGTAAGCTTTCACTCAAGTGCATAGAACGGAGGCTGTCCCAGTTCCTGAAATGCAACTAGAAGTCAAGGAGATCTATAATTAAATTTGTTGTATTTTGTCTTTTGATAGACGTGACCTAATCCTTGACTCCTAATTCTTACCTAAATTACATCTCGGAATGAGGCTGAGGAATGGTGTTGAACTGTGTATTGTATAGTGTATTGATTGATTTTTTTTTTTTTTTTTTTTTGAGTCGGAGTCTCACTCTGTCACTCAGGCTGGAGTGCAGTGGCAAGCTCATGGCTATCACAGCCTTGACCTCCTGGGCTCAGGCGATCCTTCCGTCTCAGCCTTCCAAGTAGCTGGAACTATACGCGCGCGCTATCACTGTGGATAATTTTTTGATTTATTATAGAGACGAGGTCTCACCAAGTTGCCCGGGCTGGTCTCAAACCCCTGGGCTCAGGCAATCCTCTTGTCTCTGCCTCCCAAAGTGCTGGGATTACAGACTTGCGCCACCGTGCCCGGCTAATTTTTTGATTTATTGTAGAGATGAGGTTTTGCCATGTTGTCCCGGCTGGTCTCCAACTCCTGGGCACAGGCTATCCTATTGCCTCAACCTCCCAAAATGCTGGGATTGTAAGTATGAGCCACCACACCCAGTCAAGCTTTCTATTTTTTAACTTAAAATGTTCTGTAGGCTGTACATTTTTAGGCAGTTATGTATCCTATAATGCTCTCTCTGTTGATTCAGTTTGGTCTGGATTTTTAATTGTTTTGATACTAGTGACAATATATAGTGTTTCAAATACTGTTTTGGGGAGAATATCTCAATCAAATATTAAGTAGCTAGTATATGCTTGTCCTATTACAGTGACTAGTATGTGTGTCTATTGTAACAATTATCAAATAGTATTTTAACTATTTGTCTTTCCCCTACCAAACATAAAGTACTTAATTGCTGAGTTCTTGTTTATTCATTGAGTCTAGGGTCTAGCCTAATGCTGGCTGCCTAGTAAATACTTAACAAATTTTTTTTGGAGGGGAAAAGGGAAAGAGAAAAAGGAAGAAAGGGAGAAAAGAAGGAAAAAAGAAGTCCATTAAAAATAGGAAGTTTAAAATTGAACTAGTAAATTTCAAATTCCCTATTACTTAAACCTGATTTAAAGTATAAATGTTATACATACATGTTTTAAGTTAAAAGTGATGCTGCAAAATTAGTTAATTGAGAAAATTTTAGGCTGGGCACGGTGGCTTACTCCTATAATCCCTGCTATAGATTGCTTCACATAGTTTTGTTTTCATATCCTCCAGATTATATTCCAAAACAATACTTCTCATAATACATTTCACCAATGTTCTCAAAGTATGGTCCTGGACTAGCAAAATCAGCACTGCCACCCTAAATCTTTTGAACCAGAAAGGGTGAGATCTACCTTCCTGGAGTTTTTTGTTTGTTTGCTTGAGTCAGAATCTCACTCTGTGGTCCAGGCTGGAGTGCAGTGGCATGATCACAGCCACCACAGCTTCTACCTGCTGGGCTCCGGCGATCCTTCTTCTTCAGCCTCCCAAGTAGCTGAAACCACAGGCCCTCGCCATCACACCTGGCTAATTTTTTCATTTTTTGTAGAAACAAGGTCTCGCCAAGTTGCCCGGGTGGGTCTCGAACCCCTGGGCTCAGCCAACCCTCTCGCCTCTGCCTCCCAAAGTACTGGGATTACAGGTGTGAGCCCCCACAACAGGCATACCCTTCTATTTGTAGAAGTCCTTCAGGTGATTCTGATGCTGCTCAAAGTTTGAGAACCATCGCACAATATAATTCTCCAAAGTTAGTGCTAATGTGGATGAAGAAGCACCACTCAAATTCAAATATTTTACATTGTTAGACAAAAAAGATTAAACTTTCATATTTTTTTCTCATGATAAAATTCCCCCACTGTAGAACTTTTAGAATACATAGAAATTTAAGAAATAGAGATGGCGAAAAAAACCTCTTCAACTTTTCACTTAGTGTAGTAGTAAACTTTTTGGTCTCTTCTTGTTACATCCCTCCTTCCCCCATTTTCCCCCATCTAAATTTTTACAAAACAAACAAACAAAAAGCCCAAGTTGTAATGCCTTTCAGCGTTTTTAAGTTCTGTTCATCGCAGCCTTCCATGAATCCTTTCCTACGATAACAGGGAAACATTTCTTTTTTTTTTTTCTTTTTGAGTTGGAGTCTCACTCTGTCGCCCAGACTGGAGTGCAGTGGCCGCTCCCGGCCACCGCAGCCTCCACCTGCCGGGCTCCGGCAATCCTTCCGCCTCAGCCTTCCGAGTAGCCGGAATGACAGGCGCGCGCTGCCACGCCCGGCTCATTTTTGATTTATTGTGGAGATGAGATCTCGCCAAGTTGTCCAGGCAGGTCACGAACCATTCTTTTTTTTTAAGTCGAGTCTCACTCTGTCGCCCATGCTGGAGCACAGTGGCACCCTCCCGGCCACCGCAGCCTCGACCTGCTGGGCTCTGGCGATCCTTCCGCCTCAGCCTTCTAAGCAGCTGGAACTACGGGCGCGCGCCACCATGCCCGGCTCATTTTTTGATTTATCGCAGAGATGAGGTCTCGCCAGGTTGCCCAGGTGAGTCTCGAACCCGTGGACTCAGGCAGTCTTCTCCCCTCCGCCTCCCAAAGTGCCAACAGGGGAACATTCTACCACCATTAGTAAGAACACGGATTCCGAAATCTGGCAAAGCATCAGTTTCGTTCCCACGGAGCCATTCAGGAACTCTGGCCCCCGTGCTTTCGGCATCTTGGAGGCGGACGCCTTATCGGTCAACCCGAGCCCCATCAGGACTACCAGGGCGGCTGTCTGGAAAGCCTGTATCCCGAC